GCTGTGCAGTCCCTCATTAGCAGCCTGTTATGGCGTTATGAGGTCTTTTTGCTCTTAAGTTGTTTAAGTGTTAAGTTGTAAAAAACAATAAAACCATAACATTCATTCTTACGACTCATATTTTCTCCTAGCCAACCTTGTTTTGACAGAATCGAGCGCAGATGGAATTATAATGTAAATCACCTTTGATAAGATATCTAAAACTTGAAGAGGCACAGTCTGCGTTCTCTCTCTCTTTTCCTGCTCCTGTCTTTGTGTTTGAGAGCCTAATGCAAATGCCAATGAGGGGAAATGATGTGCGCAGTGATTACTTTTGTGTTTTCAAGTTAGCACTGACATAATCACGCACTAACCCTTCATCATCCAGTGTTCCCTCTTTTCTGTGTACCAATTAGTTACCAACAAGTGCCTTTGAAATGCAGTTTAAAGCACAGCTGATTTTCCATCTATACGCCAGTGTCCCAGCAGGCTTAGCTGCAGAACAAATACTGATTATTTCTCTCCACAATGCTACACTAGACATAAACTGAAAGACAAAGACAATCTCGCAGACAGTTTACTGATGTTGTGTGCGCTGTTGTCTTGGAGACAGCCCCTTTGGTATTTACATCCCTGATGTCAGAAGATTTGCGGTTGGAAATGGGAAATGAATGGAGGCAATAGATGGCCTTATTTTATTGAATACACAAAAGCTTATGGCAAAGGATTGCTTAAAAAATTTGGCACTTACTATGGGGCACTGTCCAGTGTAATGATTACACTAAAGGCCACGTAATTGCTGGCTGTATGCATGCGGTTTATATCAATTTAATGATACCGAATCGAATCGGCTTAGACAACTGCAGCTCAGTGCAGCAGCTGATTATTTTGCCCTCCTGTTGGTTAATTCCGTTATAGAGGTCTGCCAAACAGCTTTCTGCTCTGGGCACGATGCTCAAACATCTGATACATCTCTCTTATGGGGGAGTGGAGACCATTTTTAACAGGGAATGTTTTTCTACAATCAGCAACAAGTTTGAGTGGAAAGGAGTGACGACTCTCTCGAAATCATCTGGTATTTCAAGCTGTGACGGGGGGAAAAAAAGACTCTCAAACAGCCACACTAACAGCTCTGTGAGGCCTTGATGCTCAGTATGAAGAGAGCCAATCTGATGTCCAGATAATCCAAAGAGATGGATGAATTTTATTGAACATTTAATCTGATGCGGCTGCTCAAAAAGACCTTTAAATAGCATTCAAAGGAAAAAAATTATGATTGGTTCAGGACCTCGAAGCTTCGATCAGTTGATAGTTTTACGCTTCCATCTGGCAAATTTAAACTATGTCTTTCAATTTCGATTGCTTAAGCCTGCCAACAGTTACAGCTGCACCTGCAAGCTGCTTTGCAACCCATACTGTCTTTTGATCCATGTTGCATGTCAATTGAGGTGGTAATATAACTTCTATATATAAAATATATCTGTGCCAGATATTTGTTAGCAGGAGGTCCAACCTGGTACTAGCAAAGAGTACCTAATAAAGTGGTTCGTGAGTGCATAGTAATAATGAATCAGCAGCTGTTTTGCTGGAGGTATCACTTCAAAGAATCAAATTAAATAAAACTGAATTAATTTGAATTTCTAAAACACATGAACACAAGTGATGACCTGTTTATATAGTAAGGTTTACAGAACTTGACACAGTAGCACTCAATCAAGTATCCTTTTTGCAATTTTTTAATGTTTACATCCATTTACGTATATATATCAGCTTAAATGAATGAAGATACTATATTATACACTATATGGGCAAAAATATCAGCCCTCCTAGATGTTCCACTACCAACTCTAAGCAGTATAATTGCAAAGTGGAAGCTTTAGGAACCACAGCAACTCAGTGATGAAGTGGCAGATCACATAAATGTACAGTGTGTAATGGAGTGCTGATGAGCATAGTTGTCAACATAAACTATAGAACTTCAAACCTCCTCTTGCATTAACGTCAGCACAAAGACTCTGCACGTCAAGGGAGCTTCAAGGCATGAGTTTCCATAGCCGAGCATCTCCTGTAGGTGTAATGTGTAGGTGGCCCGGCACTTTTGCCCATATGTTGTATGTAATCATTTTCTCCGTTCACTAGTTTAAATTACATGCTATAATGGAACATACATATAAAGAAAGGGGGCTGCTTCAGATGTGTGTCATGTTTACACATTTTCAACTTTTCACGTGTCATATTATGTTGCAATGCACATAAAAGAAAATGGTTAGGATGAGGCCTGAGGTGTCATTAGTTGTCCCCGTATGGGAAGGGAAAAAGCTGATAAAATTGTTGCCTTTTCATGTCACCGGGCTGGGTTAAAACGTTCAGTGTTCCTTTTCTCATTTGTAAAGATATTAAATCCCGAACTTGAATTTCCTCTCAGTCCTGTATATATGACATGTCTTAATTATCACATGGCTCTGGCTGGATGGTGAAGAGGTTTGGAATCTCTTTCCTGTTCTGGTTCATTTCCTTTGTTGATACCATCCCTTCAGGACAGCTACACCATAGTAACCATGGCTCCAAATTTCTAAATCACCCTCAGCTGTATTTGTCACTCTTTCATCACATCTGTTATTCTTCACTTCTTTCCACTGCAATTTCCCTTGGCTACAGTCTTGTGCCCCCCACTGGCATGTGAATACAGGCTGCAACCTTGACTTTGCAGTGCTTTTGATGAAGATCCTTGAACATTTTCACTATTTGAATGACATGTAAATTTTATTCTGTGCCCTTTTTTTTCTCCAACAACCTGCGGATGAGAAAAGTGCATTTAATGGTAATTTTTCTTCATACACATGCACAACAAATAAGTAAATTAAAGACTAATAACTGAGTAACTGGTCGCACTGGTAAAATCACAGAACACCGCTTTTTCAATAGGTAATCTGCAATTTGAGAGTGTGTTAAAATAAATTGTAAAGAGAATAATCGGTTAGATGGTAACACTTTCTAATAAGAGTACAATTATATACTCAAGTAGCGCCAAACTAATGCATGACTCGTGCTAAAGTATGATTTAATGATTTCCTGTTGCTTACCATTAGCATATAAAAAAAGTCTCCATATCTATTTGTGAATGTTTCACACCTCAAAGGTCATCAGTTATGAGACATTAATTTACACTCAATTCACACAAGTTGGTAAGCAACAACAGTATGTATTTGTCAAAGACTGTATATAAAAGATGGATGGGTGTGGCTACCATGACATCATTAATTGGGTTTCTTGGCTTCCTTGCATTTTGAAGCCTCATTTTTAGGGTTTGAGCCACTGCCATGTTGCTCCATATTGTTGTTGTTTTTTGGGGGGGGTTTTTTTAAGTAAAAAGACACAGCTCACCTTAAATTAATCTCGATCAGCCATTCCAGAAGCCAATAAAGCTGCAGCCCCCTTAAAAACCAGAAAGACCCCACAGGGTCCTACCAAATCATAAATCTTCACTCTAATCAAAATACGATGGAAAGTCATGTGTTTTCTTGACAATTTTATTCAAAAAACACAGAAATTACAGGCTGTTGGCTATGAATTGCAGATGCTACCCAGTCATATTCAAAGTGGTAAAGCCAACCTGTGACCCGCCTGCCACAGCAACACAAACTTCAATACAAGAGCAATACATTTAGGTTGGAGTAATGAGTAATATCAAAAATGAACCACCTCCTATTGCCAGTTTTAATGATTTTTTTTATATAAATCCAGTGAGGAAGTTCAAAAATGAATTTCTCTTATTACATCGGCCCACCTGCAGTACCTTTGTGTCCCCAAATACCTTCTAGAGCATTTCTATGCCATGAAAAATGCTCTAAAAGGAACTACAGCACAAACATAGTCAAGAGGTCCATTTCAGTGTGATTAATTAGTGGAGATGAGGCCGAGAGACAGACAGCTATCAGCCACGATTGCCCGTGTCAGCACACATACCAGTCAAATTGATAAATTAAACTTTAAGCTTTGATGGTGCATGTTGTACTTGGCTGTAAACATGCTGCAACATGGATGTAGATGGAGTTTAATTCACCTTTAGAGCCAGCCTCATGTGGCCATGAGGAACTGCAACATATGGGACTTCTGCAGCTTCAGTTTTAGGGCAGATGAATGTATGTTTTTATAGAAGAGTCATGTTTTTAATCAAATTCAAGATATACACAGTAACATAAATAAACTGGGATGTTGAGAAGCTAACATGCTCACGTGTCAGTCCACATTTGAGGTAACAGTGAATCATTTTTTAATGGATGATCTAAATTTGCACTTCACATTTGTTAATGGCTAGAAAATTAATGACACATCTTAGATTAATCATCATCATGATGAGTCAATCATTACTTAAGCATTACTGAGTATATGATATTGAATGGTTCATAGAAAATAACAATAACAACAACAACAACAACAACAATAACAACAATAATAATAATAATAATAACAATAATAATAATAATAACAATAATAATAATAATACTGATTAGAATGATTTTACAAGAAATTTAGGTTTTGAAATTAGTCAGTAGTTTTAAAAAAACATCACAGGTCAAGTGATTCTCAGTAAATTGGAATAACCATAAGAACGCAAACTGGCTTTGGTGACACACACTTTCAAAAAATATGAATTTGATGACTGACTGGAAAAACTTTTCTGACCTTCTAATCTGTGCAAATATTCATATAAATATATAACAAAACACAAATTTTCTGTAGGTATGGGGCAGCTTGTATGTAAGCCTATTTTTCTAGCTCTGTGATGCTTTTTGAAAAGTGTTACTTTTCTTTGGCTTTGACTTAGATCTGCTGAATCTTTATAACCACAGACCGAGGGCCAAAGGGGATCGGGAAGCCAACATGCGTTGGCCGAAAGGCGGGGACATAGCGAGGTCGTCTGTCCCTCATAGAGAACACTCCAGTCATTACTCGAAAAAGTAATCCCGTTACAAACCCCGACCAACAGGACTGAGTATCAAACCGAAGCGCATCGCTATTGGACGCAGTGAGGGTTGGACTCGAGCACCCCGTTTGCTGTTATTCAAACGCAGGGAGCGCGTGCGGCCAGTCGCTCCTCGTTGCGCGTTGGATATGGATCAGGACTCTGCGCGCTTCCCCACTGTCTCCCGCGGACAGGCTGCACTCTGCGGCGCATAAAAGGTTTCCAAATGAACCGCCGCCCTCCCGGCTCCTCCGGCGTGCAATGGCTTAACCGGAGAGACATGAATGTTCGGACGGATGACAGCGTCACTCTGTGCCAAAGGGCTCTCCAAATCGTTACGGAACTTTGTCTCGCGGGACACGTAGACCGGGAGAAATGTTCGGATATATTCCCCCTTGAGAGCAACATACCAGGTAAAGGACACGCAGGTAAATAGAATAAAGTCATTATTTTATTCTCCCCAATTCCCTTACTTAATCACTTCTTTCTCTAAAGTCATGGCGCCCAGTACTCGCAGAGTTTCGAGGGGGAATGGATGAACTAATCACCAACTAGTTAAAAGTTTATTAGTCCACTATTATCCTTATTTTTACTGCGTTTTTTTAAAACGAAAAATGTTCTGAAAGTGTCTACCTGTTACGCATCTCAGTCCACACTGAGTGAAACAGCAACAGGTGGGAAACAGACCGAGAGGACGAAATGATTCTCCTCCCTTCAGCTATGTTTCCTTTGTAAATTTGCAGTCTGTGAAATTTCACTCTAGTGCCAGCTTGATTGAAAATCTGAATTTTTAAGCTGAATTAAGCTTCCTTGCATACTGTTGCACAGCGGGTGCAAACTTTGCTTTTAAATAGAAGCCAGAAGGGGAGATGTGGTGCCAGATGTTTTTCTTTTCGTGCTGTTTTCCTGATGCTGTGTCTCCTCACTAAACTGTGGTTTTATGACCTTTATATGATCTTTCTATATCAAACAGGTGCATTTGCTGCCCCCTCTTTCTTACAGCTTGCTTTCTCTCCCTTTTTCTCCTTCTCCCTTGCATGTTTGTTGGTCATATTTTGTCCTTCGCCTGCTTCTCTCCTCCTTTCTACATGTCACCTGTCTTTGTCCTTTGGTTGAATGTAGACATCTCTATTAGTCTCCTTGCTGTGGTCGTGGGTTTCTGTGGCCTCGCCCTGTTGGTAGTCTCTCTCTTTGTCTTTTGGAAGCTGTGTTGGCCCATCTGGAGGAGCAAGGCTCTGTCAGCCCACGCTGAAAATGTGCTCCGTGGGGGTTTCCCCGAGGCACCCCCACCCAACTCCCCCCCGGTTACTGAGTTTAAAGTGGCGGAGGTGGAAAAGAAACAGCCGCCTGAAGTGAAGGTGAATGGACGGAGCTCAGTCAAGCTACTGGAGGCAGCCATGAAGATCAGCCAAACGTCTCCAGACATCCCTGCCGAGGTCCAGACAGCTCTGAGGGAGAAGCTCAGCCAGCAGGCTAAAATCCAGAGGCAGACCACCGAGCCAACCTCCTCCTCCAGGTACTGTCACATGAACCAGTCCCTAGTCTGCTTCTGCACTCAGGCCACTTGTGCTTACAACTAAGTGTAGCATATTAAAGATCTCTTTTGTTTTGTCCATCTCCCCACCCATGTTACAAGAAACACATTTAAAAAAACAAAAACTCACATAGAGCACAAACTGTCCTGACAGTTTGTGACAGGGCTGCTGCTGCTGTCCTCGAGGTAGTGTGGCACATGTCAGTGACTGGTTGGTGACCTTGAATAGCTGCTGCTGCTGTTGTACATCACAAAAATGAGATTCTGCAGCATTTCTGACACATCTCCTTGCTGCACTTTGAACCCTATAATCACTTGTACATGTGAGTCAAGCTGCTCTGGTAAAGACCTCAGTCATTAAACAATCAGCTCTTTCTTCTCTTTGTTTTCCAGTACTGTGTTTAAACTAGAAGGTCCATAATTAGCATGGCTGTGGGGTGGGAGCTGTCATGGTGGAAGGTTGGGTTTTTGTCAGACGCACCAGGCAGCTGTGCTCAGTTTCTCGGAGGAAGCTGGTATTGACATGCACTTTGATTTGTTGTTAGGGCTTGTTAATTAAATGATATTGTGGCGTAGGCCTCCATGAATTATACACCCACCAGTTATGCAGATAGGACAGGTTAAAGATTACAAGACCTACCTTCTCAATTCCTCCGCCTACTTTTTTGACAGCAAAAGCTAAAAGAAGCCTAAAGCAAAACTAATGTTTTAGAGTTAATCGTGGCTTAAAAGAAAAGCCTAGCAGCATATACCATAATCAGGTTATAACACCAGAAAAACTAGTAGATATAGTCTTGGAAAACCAGGAAATCTAACTGCTGACATCTGCAAACATGGAAACCCAACAGTCCAAAACTGGGATTTTATTTCAGTGTCACAAAGAAAAGAAACAAATCCTCAGAGCTGAAAAGCTGGAACCAAAAAATAGAAAACAATTTGACATTTGAAACAATGACTAATTATTAAAATTATTCTAAGAATTTATGACTAACTTGGTTCAGCGTCCACAATTAACATTTGCCAAGCACCAAAAGCATTTTTAGTTTGGAGATTCAGTCTTAGAAACCTTCCCTTCATACTGGCAGGTAAATGTTTAAACTAAAATAGTCACATAATAGAAACTCTACAGAGTTTCCACCGTGTTTCGGTGACCTTTACAGACACACTTTTTTCTGTCCTCAGCTGTCGTTGTTAAAATTTGACATCCACATTATGCAAAGACCATCACCAACTCTTCCTCTGATTGACTCTGACCCTGACATTTATGTGTAACTGTGCATCTGTAACCAAGCCAAACAGTGGCAGAGCACAGGTGAAACTTTGTGGAACAAGGGTGGAAATGCAAAACAGAGGGATGAAGTTTAAGTCAATCATATATGTTTCATTTTCAACTATACTCATTAGTAAAGACAATTTTTAAAAACAATTTTCCATATTTTGCTTTGGCCTCTTTGTGTCAAGACAGCACACAGAGTTAAAAACTGAGAAATTGAATTGCAATTCTTCAAATGACCACTAGAGACCCGTTCCAAAAGCGAGTCCGTCCCCAAAATAACAAAATACACCCTGTTACAGAAATGTTTTCGTCACTGCAAATGCTTTTTCTCCCCCATAACTATACAGAGGGGCGTGAAGGCCCTAGCATGATTAGTGGTCAAAGAAAGAGAAAAAGGTATACTGGGGACAAACAGAGTCAATTCCGCTATATTTGGTGTGCGGTATCGGTCCGATACGTAATATCGGATCGGTCCATCTCTACTTTTTATAAGTTCACTTCTGGCTTCAAAGAAACAAAATGATGGTAGCCAAAATTCTAACTGACATTATAGTGTTTGGTTTCTAGACAACTAATGAGACACAAAATATAACTTTTATCTATTGTGTGACAAACCATACACTGCAAAAGTTTGGAGTCCGAAGGTTGTTAAACTTTTTCAGGGTATTGTAGATGTTTGTAACTTTAACACTTAGGAAAACAGAGAAAGAGGAAGACAAAGGAAGATGTCAATAAGCCCATATGGATTGAGTGTGTGTTGGGGGATTCAAAGAGAGATAAAGGTTGACAATACACAAAAATCATAAAGGAGAAAACAAATCTTGCTAATCAATGTTCAGTTGGTAAATCAGGCACACTTTCCTTTTCCTCTGAGATTTGTGCTGGCGATGTTCCCCCTCTGTGCTGTTTACAATATTTCAGTGTAGTATTTAATCTTCAGCTGTGCTTCCTGTGCCACGGTTGTCAGGCTGCTGTGATTGTCTTACGGTCAGAAAGGAGGAGGGCCAGTTGCTAGGTGACAAGATCGGCGAGTCAAAGACAGACGTGGTTTTCTCAAAAGATGTCAACTTCACTGAAATTTGCAGCATTCAGGTAATTGGAATGAGGGCTCAAATCTGAGTGCTGGAGATGTGTTTTCATTTCCCCAAACCAACGCCAGTAGTGGCAAAAATCAATTTGTCACTTTGATCACTGGTGATTTAATATCACCTGTTACCATATGGATGATAAAACCAGCTATTTTCAGCTAGGGAGTTTGCTGGGATTTAAAATATGCAATATAGGGCGCTGCTTTATAGGCTGAGAGCGCCTGGCCTGGGTTCAAGTCTGACCTGCGGCCCTTTGCCACATGCCTTCCTCTCGCTCTGCCCCCGCTTTCCTGTCCTTTCCTCACTGTGTCTGTCAAATAAAGCTGGAAAAACTGATCATCTGCCTAAAACAAGCCCCCTTTAAGCAAACCTCTGATTGGCTGCTCCTCATATACAAAACAAAATTTAAACTGCAGGTGGGTGGGGCTTCTGCTCCAGAGCAAGACCGGGTCACAGACTTGATATGAGCATCAAAAGATGCTAGCACATGAGTCATACATGGAAAGCCATAACCAAGTCGCTGAACATCTGTGCCGAGTATGGCCTAGAAGTATCAAGCGCAACGCCCCCAGGGTAGTTTGAAAATGGCCAAGCTAAGATCCTGTTTGACTTCGAGATACAAACAGACAAACTGGTGACTGTGGCGGCCCTCTACTGTGTCCGCTACCAACCAGACACAGTAACGGTTGACAAGCAGAGGAAGCAATATAAACACGAGTAACACAAGAAGCTTGAGAATACCAAGGGTTGAAAGAGGAGGTAGAGAAGATGAGGAGCTCGAAGGATAAAGACCGCCCACAGGGGGATTTAAAAAAACAAAGCATATATATCTCTGGACAATATTTAGACTATCGCCATTTTGGTTCCTAGTTAATTATGCACTATTGTGAGCATCTGGTGGTAGTTTATTAAACATTTAAAGGTTTCTACACTAGATATTGTTTTTAGACTTTTTCCTGAATAGTAATAAAAACAATAACCAGCTTTTATTTGTGTGGTATTTTGCTCTGATAAACCTTTTGTTCCATAAAAAAGCTGCTCTTCCATGACGCCAAACACACGACAAATGAGACATTTACCTGATGCTCTGTGATGCTCCTTTCAACAGGCACAATTCATTCAGGCGCCACCTGCCTCGTCAGAAGAATGTCACCAGTGTTGACTTCACCATGGACACAGTGCCTCTCCGCCAGTCCTCTACTGTCAGCATTGGAAGAATAAAACCTGAACTCTACAAGCAGAAGTCTGTGGACTCAGAAGAGGCCAAAGAGCCCGTGGAGACTTGTGGAAAGCTAAGCTTTTCGCTTCGTTACGACTACGAGGAGCAGGCTTTGGTGGTGAGGATCCTGAAAGCTTTGGATCTGCCTGCCAAAGACTTCACAGGCACCTCTGACCCATATGTGAAGATCTACTTGCTACCCGAGAGAAAGAAGAAGTTCCAGACTCGAGTTCATCGTAAGAATCTAAACCCCACATTTGACGAGACCTTCTGTTTCCCCGTAGTATACGATGAGCTTTGCAACCGCAAGCTCCATTTCAGCGTCTACGACTTTGACCGATTCACCAGCCACGATATGATTGGGGAGGTGGTTGTGGACAACCTCTTTGAACTCTCTGATCTTTCCAGGGAGGCGGTTGTTTGGAAGGATATTCATGCAGCAACCACAGTGAGTTGGTGTTCACACTAAGACACTGCCAAATCCTCGCATATGTGTATGTTGTTGCTATTTAAGAAATGTTGCACCAGGCCTCTGTGCTGTTACCGTGGTAGTAGTGAATGGGATTTTATACTGTTGTCAGAAATGTCTAATCAAAAAATATTATGGCAGGTGCAATGCATTGCATAATTCAAATGCTTTGGGAAATGGATTTCAACAGCCAAACACCCACACAGCATTTTCCAGAAAATGCTGGGTATTCTGCAGATGTAATTATAGAAACAGAGTAAAAAATATCCAAGACCACATTTATGCAGTGACTAAAACTCTACAGGTAAACAAAAAGGGTTTGCAGGCTTTGCAGCATACTGCAGATAGCCTGTCCTCATATGAACTCTTTTCTAAAGATTTGTGGTTATTTAGCCCCCGAATGCATTTACTCCAGCATAACCACTTATCACAATTTGCTCAAGAGGCTGGGCTTTATTAATGAATGTGTTCCTGGTGAGAAACACTGAGCCTTTGCTTTCAGGTTCACTTTAGTGTCTGTGGGCTAAATTAGCAGCAACAGAAGAACAATAAATTTTGTTTTGCATAAAGAATTGTTTAACTGGCTATTCTCTCGCTTCCTTAATATATTATAATTTTTATATTGATGCTTTCTAAAAGCACAGGCATTAAGAGCTGATAAAATTTGTTTACTTAAAACCACATTTGTTGCATCAATTAAATTTTACCCTTACCTATGAGAACTGCATGGAGACTGTGCAAGAGAAAACTGCAGTCGGGTGTGATTTCAGTGCTCATTACATTCAACTCCAGAGGAATGCTACACTATCATAGACTCATAAGACATCACTTTAAAATAAACGGACTAATGTAACTCTATAGACAACTTCATATAGAGTTTGGTAATATAAATGGCATGGAGAAAGTTTATTTATATTTTTCCTCCTGTGCACATCTCATCATAGTCACTTGGATTGTGGGATTTCTTTTTTTATATTCCTATTTCTGTGTTGACACAACCAAAGGCAGCTTGGTAACTTTGGACCTGTACTAATCTTAAGGTATTTATCTGACAATTTTTATGGCACAAGTAGTATTTATAAACATGTGTGGTTATAAGGTATTGTCTAACTTCAACTCCCTTCCTATTGGTTTCTCTTAACTTTTCTGCAAGCACTTGCCAACTGTTCTCCAACCGGTGCACAAACTGTGAAAAGTGCAGCTTGCTGAAACCAAAACATATGGGAAAACATAGGTGAAATGTTTACTTTCACAATTTCACTACAACTTGGAGAGTAGTTGCTGAGCGTTCGCAGATGAGTTTATCATGTAAACTATGGGCAGCTGCAACGCCTCGCTAACAACCATAGCAATCTCAGTGAGGTTTTGAGTGTAGCACCTTATACCTCTTTGTGATCAATCTTGGGGAACACACGTTTCCCCTTATTTCAAGATGTTTACAGACCAGTCTGTAGGTCTGTGTGAGAGAGGCTTACAATAATTGAACATTCAAGCCAAACTCCAATGTTAATTCAATAGTAAGATGTAGCGTACGGGATTTCACTGGCTATAAATGTGTAGTTGCAGAGAGTTGTCTAGATTACACAATTAACAACTATGATGTTAAATTTCAGCAGAAAAAACAGTCTACACTTCTCTTTTTAGTAGTTATAGATAATGTCATTAACAATTACCAATGTAACCTAATTCATTGTGTAAACTATGACAGAATAAACAAACAAACTTAATTTTAAGAACCTCTACAAACTAACAATTAAATGAGCTGCAAAATCATGTTCTTACGTTTTGAAATCACAACATACGCTATTGGTATTCGTTTTGCTAGCAAACAAATTGAGCCAACAACAAACTCAACTACAATGAATCAAATAATATTGCATATACAATAGTGATTTAAAAAACATGCTAACAGGTCTATAAAGCCATAATGATAAGATCATTTAGATGTTTAGCAGCTATACATTTTGCAGTCTTGATTATCTTATTTTATGCTAGTATGCTAACATTTGCTAAATAAACTGTATTGTTTATTACCAACAACAGTTGACAGATTTGTGAATGACTTTCATTTCATTGATACTTGGTCATAAACCGAAGTTTCTGAATAATTGAAATATTGGCCTGATGATGATGATGAAGTCTAATACAAAGAAGATGCTATAATTTTGATCTTGTGGTTTCTCAAGTCATTGCAAAACATGATAGTTTAATGCGTCTATCTGTTTAAAAAAGATACTTTCCCATCAATTACCAATAAAAAAGTTCATTCTAACAATTAATATAGTGACATATCACACTATGTATGATTTAACCTCTCCTGGCTATGATTGCCTGTATTACAACCACCAAAGTATTGTTGAGATGGTTTTCTTAGGACTGTTACCAAAGCCTGGAAACCATACATTAGTACTATTTACTACTAGATTAATGATTTACGGTTATTGGATGAAGAAACAGTAACAAATCTGAACAGTTAATTGTTAGTTAAGTTTACCGCCATAAAGAATTGAAGGACTGAGATAAATGTCAAATAGCCTGCAGAGCCATGCTAATTAAACTCTCACTATCAGCTCAATGCATATGACCTCTTTTAAAAACTGACCTGTTTGCTCCTTTGCGTTGGCATTTTGATTCACAGAATGTGGCAAATCATTTAAATTTGGTTCAATACATTCTGCTCTCTTTTCTTTTTATGCCCTCCAGGAGAGTATCGATTTGGGAGAGATCATGTACTCGTTGTGCTACCTCCCCACAGCAGGGAGAATGACCCTAACAGTCATCAAATGCAGAAACCTCAAAGCCATGGACATCACAGGCTCCTCAGGTAATCAAATAGCAAAATAGTCTTCACATCAAAAGCAAAACTTAGGAATCAATTAAATATAGTTAAGCTGAGAGAGCAAAAAGAAATAGGGACGATATATATCCTTTATTTTTCCAGGTAAAAGTCTCTTTTATAAAATATTCTGAGAACATAGGACACATTGGTTGTGGTTTTTAGAAATAGAGTCACACACATAAGAAGAAACTAGCCCAAGCAGTGATTTATTTGCAAAAACCAATCCACGGGAAGGTCTGGGATATACAGAGCCGGTCACTTAGCAGCAGCATACAGAAGAGAGTGATGTACAAGTTTTCCAAGGTCTGTAATAAATGTAAAGAACAATGATAAATGGCATCCAGCCTCTTTAAGTATTAGCCAGGTGTGTTCATAATGAGAAGTTCCCCTGTAGGTCGCCTGACTTAGAGCACAATAAAAAATGCATTCCTGAAAAGAAACCTAATTAATTTATTTTTTATCTTGGACACAGGATTTTCAATATAAAGTTTAAATGAGAAAATTCTGATCGATAATGATACCTGAATACAAGTTTCAGCCCTTTGATTATTTATGAATAAAATGAACTTAGATTTGTCTGCATTTAACAGAAACTTATGTAAAGTTAAATGATACTAAGCATCATAATAGGCAAACTACTGAAATCTGAGGGTTTTTACAACTGAAAAACACAAACAACAGCAGATTGTATCATCTGCATAAAAATGGGAGGAGGCATTTGATAAATCATTGACAGAGAAGAGTAGTGGGCCCAATATGGAGCCCCGAGGAGCACCGAGGGATGCCAGGAGAAAAACCAGAAAGGCAAAAACAATGCACAAGAAACTGAAACAAAGAGGCTAATGAAGTTTAATGTCAGAAGCCATGAAAGCTTTTGACACAATTGCAAATTATTTCATATATTTGTCTCTCAGATCCATATGTGAAGGTCTACTTGATGTGTGATGGACGGAGGTTAAAGAAACGAAAAACAACAATTAAGAAAAGCACACTTAATCCGGTGTACAACGAGGCTATCATCTTCGATATTCCCCCGGAGAATGTGGAACAAGTCAGTCTGTCCATCATGGTCATGGATTATGATCGGTGAGTTAAATACTCACTAAATACTGTTTATGTTCACATGCTTACATTAAAACGATAAAGTGAGCAGAGTAGAAGTAGATCAAAACATATTTTTAATTTAGTCATGATCCAAAGCACATGTGTGTCAATGTGTGTGTTTTATGACTACCAGTGTTGGACACAATGAGGTGATTGGCGTGTGTCGTACGGGGCCAGATGCTGAAGGGCTCGGACGAGATCACTGGAACGAAATGTTGGCTTATCCACGGAAGCCCATCACGCACTGGCATGCACTAGGAGAGGTACAAGCATGTTCTTTTCCTTACTAGTCTTACAGAGCCCGATTAAAACTTCTGAATGTGAGACTGAACTGTATAGGTGTTATGGTTTGCAAAGCAAAGAAACCACACAGTAGACTGTCACATTTTCTAAATGTCAATCTATTCCATCTCTACGGGGAGCACATTATTTATGTCTTTTTATTTTTATTTTATATTAGTTCAATTGAATCTTTCCAACATTGTGAAACTATGAAATCATCCGGAACGTGTAATTGTTGCTTCCCAATTTAGGGTTTACTTTTCTGATTAATTTCCAAAGTTTTAGGGAGCCTAGACGCAGCTGCAATGTTAATGAGCAGCTGTTTTCTCTTAAATTACTAATACTGCAGATTGAAAGTGCCCTCTTTGATATCTGCAAGGAAAAAGGGTTCTTATTGCATGGGGACATATGCATCCAGGGGAAAAGGGATTGTAAACAAATACATTTTGTCTTAAAATTAGTCTCTTGTCTGTAAATCAAACAAACAAACAAAAAAACATAAAGAACAACCTTGAAGGGATTTTGAAAAGTTTATTAGCTATTTTTCCCAAAATCTCATTGAGACGCTTAACATTTATTTCTTTGCAATACTAAGGCACCAAATTTGTTTTCTAAGGGAAAACAGATGGCTTCACTTCATGAAAGCTGGTCTCCAAACCATTGTTACTTACATGTTGCATGTGTTCATTTAAGTCATGCAGCAAAAGGCGCATGTAGTCCTTTTAATGGGGCCTGTTTTTCAGATAAGGAGTAGCTAATCCTGTACTCATAGAGAAGTTGTCAGTTTTATAGACTGGAAGGCTTTTTTTCCTTTTTACAGAGGACAGCTGTTTCACTACAGTAAATTAATATTTTACATGTTATCAATTCTTTCCCTCTTTTGTCACACCCACTCCCCACCTGGAGAATAGGAAAACACAGGTGATTACCTATTTTCAGTGGTAAACCTACATTATGATTTGGTGAAAGCTGTGATCATAGGCAAAATATATGCATTATCTAGAAAGGACCTTTCTACAGGTGGTAGTTTGCACAAGCAACAAAGCAAGCAGATTTTACAATCAAGAAAATAAGAAAACTAAAGGTTAAATAACCATTTAAACAGAGAAATACAAGTGGATTAATAACATTTTGTAACTTCAGGAAAGGCTCTTAAATAATGGAGGAAGGTATTTAAAAGAGGTCACTGACTCAACTGACCTGGTTTTCTCAGGCAGCTTGTTCCATTGTCCTGAGACTCTTACTGCGAAAGCTCTGCCACCTCGAGTTTTCGGCTCTCTATATATAGATATATATATATATATATATATATATATATATATATTATATATATATATATATAGATATATATATATATATAAAACATACTGAAGGTTAAAACAGGTGTGATGTGGTCACTTCTCTAGGTTCTTGTTAAAACGTCTGGTAGCTGGGCTTTGGACAGTCTGATAAATTGTTTTTTTTTCAAAGCAGGGAAGAGGCTGTTGAAATGTTGAAATAGTCGAGGTCTGAGGAGTCACGAGTTGTGGGAAAGCTTGAAAGGATCATGTGTCAAAGCAAAAAATGGATACACAAGACTGATGTACAGTTGAGTCTATAAATATTTGGAAGGTGAAAGAGTTTTTGTATTTCCACTGTACGCCAACTATTGAAGTGCAGGCTTTCAGCTTTAATTTAAGGGGTTTAAGAGAAGTATTCCATTAATTACAGAAATACTAAGTGTGCCATTTTCAGAGGCTAAGAAATAAATTAGAATTATTTCCATGGCTTGGAAAAGCTAAAAGCAACCAACACCTAACCAAGTCAAGAACATTCTAAAGGATGTCATGATCAAAGTCTACAGTCGAGAGAATCCTTCATAAATGAAAATACTGAGAGTTTGTGACAAGATCAAAATCATTAGTTACACTCACGATGACGATAAAGGAACGATCCTTACATTTAAAATAATTTTTTTTACTGGCCAGATTCATTTTGAGCTTCTAAAAATTAGGAATTATGTATAAAAAAGGCTTTAAATCCTTCATAGTTTATGTTATTTTGGAAAACCCCTTCAGGTTAAGCTGGAAGTCTGAACATCTTGGCAGCATTTCAGTCCAAATTATAAAAAATATATTTATTGTGCAAATTCTTATGGACTTCACTGTAGCCATTGAGCACCCAGTATTTTCTTTAATAATTGCATCTTGAATTATCACATCACAATCAAGTAGGAATATGTGACTAAATTGATTCTTTACATTTCTATTTAATTTGGGATATAATCCGACATACCCTATATGTAACAAGACAAGGGAAATGATATACACTGCTTAAGGTCCAGTTGCTCCAAAATAGATTTGCCTATGATCACAGTGTATTTGTAGGACTAGAGAAAATACCTGCTTACCAGGGAAAGACTGGATAGCTCTTTAATGTTGCTTGTTTTGTGATGCTTTACCTTTCAGTGGCCTGGAAGAGCAGCAAGCTTTGAGAGTCAAGGTTCATGTCCTTCACCCAAACCTCCACATACACCCTGATGATCACAGGTGGAGTGCCAGCATCACCTCTGTAAGAAACCAGATGTTTGTTTGCCGACAAGCTATGTTGCCTATCACCCTTTTGAGCGGATTGAATTCATGTTTCTATGTTTGTACTGAAATTCATTCATTTGAATGCAAGTTCTTCAAGTGCTCTACAGAGATGGCTATGCACAGCACTCACAGTCATTCAAAGTTTGTTTTTCATACGTGTGCTTTGGAAACGTATTTGACTAACATTTACACAGACCACATGAATGGTAGGCCTCACTGCAACAAGTTGTGGTGGTTAACTTGCAGCGTTATCAGTTTTTTTTCAGTACCAGAGCAACATTTTTTCAGCCGTCAAGCTCTTTAGTGCGTTACCATTTTAGTTTGAAATGGCACAAAGTTTAAGGGCTATGCTGCTCAGTACCACAAAAATATTTACTTGATGAAAAACACTTGATGAATCAAGCGAGTCATGCTCTAGGTTTTATTTGGGAATGCAGGTAACTGAGCCTCTGCAAGGGCTGAGAAATCTCAGTAAATATATCAGTCACAGCTGTCACAGATGTGTAAAACAGAATAGCCATCACTCTGCAGGACTCTCATATTTGGAGAAACAGTAGCTGGTTCATGTAGCATATGTACAGAAAGATCAAATTAAAGTGTGTCTAAATGAACTTCAGACTAAATTGGTTTCTTAAAATTGGCCACAATGAAATGACAAATTCATCTTTATTTTTGTACACACAGAACAACCTTATTTCATAACTGCAAACACAAGCAGCAGTATTATTTAGAAACAATTAAACTTACCCTCTAATTAGTCCAGTAACACTGATATTGAAACTCCCACGTTCATTATTGTAGGGTGTTCACTTCAGAACGCATGGAGATGACCGCTGTCGTGGACTGTGAGATTTGGCAGTTCGTTCCCACTTGAATGTTCATTTTCACGCAACCACAGGCAGGTTTTGTAAACACATCTGTTTGTCCTCTGTGTAAACTTTTGATGTGCAACATTAAAAATAAAACTGTTGTTCTTTTTAAACATACATAATGAAGCATAGTGAACAGAATAAAAAAGTAGTGACATCTTAGGTTTCTTACATTAACAGTAATAATTAGGCAAATTAACCTGTACTGGAGTACAAGAATAATGCCGCGTCGTCTCCATATATCATTAATTTATAAGGTTGCTAAATTTTTCTTTGGGAGACGGAGCTTTAGCTGCAATCTTTTAGCATTTGATTGCGCTTTTAGGATCCCTGCATTATATTGACATTTTAAATCGAGTCAGTGGGAAACATTAAAGAGTTAGTATTTTAAATACTCAGATAGCTAGCATAGTTAATAAGCTAGCTGCAGCCGCTAATAGTATAAAAGATCAACATAGCTGCTGTGAAGCCTCGAGGTTCACAGTGTTACACAGTCGCTGAGATTGCCGTGGCATTAGCCAAGGAGCATACCCTGGTTAACCTGCCTTTTTAATTAATAATTTACCAAACTATAATTTACCAAATGAACTTCATGTTTTATTCACTAAAGCTTGAAACTAGTTACTGGTCAATCAATTGAGAAGGGCTCAGCTTAAAGCCACTACTGCTCATCAAAAGAAAAGACTAGATGCATTTTGGCCATGTCCGTGTTTGGGTCGGACCAAGGACACACGAGGTGATGTTTCCCTCCCGACCCCAATCTGGGTAAGTGTCAGAGGATGGATATGAAACCTGAAAAATAGTTCTGAGACTTAGAATAACCATAAATGACAAATACAATTCTAAATCCCATTTATGGGTCGGATTGTTTGGTTAAGGTCATTCTAAACCAGATTACCTACCCCTGCTGAAACAATTTTAGCAATTTTAAAACAATGCATGTTTAAAGCAGCTGCACCTTGGCTGAACTTGTCAGAGAAACGAGGCCACTGTGGAGCTGCCTTGGCCTTACTTCTACATTCATGGTTTATACTGTCTACGGCTCCAGCTGATAAAGTCTGTAGCTGTGTCTGCTGGTGGCAGCTGTGTTTCAGGTGATAAGAAAAAAGAAAATCTTGTAAATTTAAATGGCTTGACAGGTATAATAGTCAGCAAGGAGTAGGTGTTATTGAACAGTTAATTTAATTTTAAAAAGCGCAGAAGATTAATACAAACAGTGGCTAACACACACACACACACACACTCAAATATTTCCATATATTATGAATATTTTTACAATATTTTATATTTTTAAGCCACATGAAATAAACCATCATCTCAGATTTTCCTGTGAGTAATAACTAATAAGAACCCAACATAGCAAATAGAAAAAGGCTATGTACTGTTATCTTACTTGCAAATGCAGTTAATGATGCTCTTTTCCCCTTGCTCTGTCCTCTGTGTTAAAAAAAAGAGAGAATATTTTTACTTGTAGCATGCCTCTCACCACTACAAAAAAATTAAGCACTTATCGGGGGAAATGCGAATATGTCAGAGTATTTCAGATTAAAAAGTTTGTGTTTACAGTTGTATATATCCATACTTGTCAATGGCACTTTTGTTTGTATATATTGAAAAGTGAATTCTAAAAAGCTGTCGTAAACTTATGGAAATAGAGACATCACAATGTATTTCTATTGTTTGGTGATACTTTGAAGCGCTCCGACCTGTAAACGAGTGCAATTTCGACACGTTCTGTAATAGTTGTGAACAATTAGTCAAACTGGAGACCCAGTGAAGCCAATTCTACCTTACCGAGTTATTCCATGTTTAGGACCTTAGAGCTTTGAGCTGTAATTGTTTGAGTATATATGGACCGAGAACAACTTCGACTACTGTCATGATGTGTACAGTTTGTGATAACTTTTGTAACAATTTAAAGTAAATATTTGGGATATAATTTATTGTATCTGTTTCATATGTATTTTAAACACATAAATAAAAAAAATATCAGTAAATAACAGTATGTCTCACTCTGTCTGGGCAGGAATTATATTAGTCTTCTAGTGGCTAAAGAAATCAAAGTATATAAAAGGTGTCTAAAGTAAAAGGGGGCATTCATAAAAACCATACTTGATTTAAATTTGGAAAATCCCGATGTGCACTGTGCTCCTTGATCTTTAAGTAACCAGAACGTGCTACAGAGAGGCATGCATATATAGCAAAAGTACTGGAAGGGGATAGTGACCAAAGTGAAATCAGGTAGATTTCTTTTTTTATAATCATAGTTTTTTGTGTGTGTGTGAGAAAATAAAGTTTTAAGAGGACTTTTTAAGGTCATGTGGAAAAATGAAGTACAGCCTTCTATAAAAGCAGCAATTCTAGTTATTTGATGGTCTGGAGCATTCAGGTGTGTGTTAGAAATTCTAAGGATGAAAGACCTCAGTGAGGATCTTAGCGAAGCAGCTGTTAATGGCCATCAGTCCATGAAGGGTTATAATTTCCAAACAATTTCAGCTCCATCATTTTACAGCGAAAAAGATTATTCACAAGTGGAAAACATTCAAGACAGCTCCCAATTTTCCCAAGAGTGCAAATTCACACTAAGGTCAGGCCATGCAGTGCTCAGAGAAATTGCAAAAATCCGAAGAGCTACGTTTCAGACCCTATAGTCCATAGTTAGCATGTTAAATGTTACGTTTAACCTTAGCGTGGCTTAGGTTTGCAAAGCTGCATCTAAACAAACCACCAGACCTCTGGAGCAATATCATTTGGATACACAAGACAAAAATGGTGATATCTGTAAATTAAACAAAGCACAGTACCTTATGTGGCAAAAAAACAAAAACAAAAATGGAGCATATCAGCACAAACTCTTTTAACTCTATTAACTGCCAGGCACACTAGTGGAGGGGTAATGATTTGGGCTTGCTCTGGGTTTGATTGTTCTGCAACGACAGGAGCCAGGCACCTCGCAGTCATGGAGCAGACCACGAACTCCAGTCAGATGTCGAGTCCTCTGTCCAGCAGCTAAAGCTTAGCTGAATCTGGGCCATGCAACAAGACACAGCAGCAAATATACAACAGAATGTCTGAAAAAGAAAAGAATCAAGGTGTAGCAGTGATCCAGTCAGAAGTCCAGAGCACAGCCTGATTGAAATGTTGTGGTCTGGACCCTAAGAGAGCTGTGCATAAATGAATTCCTGCAAACTGAAACAATACTGTAAAGAAGAGTTGGCAAAACTCCTTCACAACAATGTGAGAACCTGACAGTCATACAGAGAAGAATTACTTAATAAAGTTCTTCTACAAGCTATTGCATAACAGGGTGTTGTTCTTCACTTTTTGTTTTTCACAAGACTGCAGAGTGAAGGCTCTCTTTGGCCTGACTGTATTTTGAGAATTCATCTTTGGAAAGAAAAGGTTCTGCGGGAACTGTGGGTTTATTGATATGTTTGCTAATGTAGGGATTTCAACCTGAGCTTTAAACAAGTTTTTGAAACGTTTCAAAACTGGGTCGCAACTACATCACATACATACAAGAGCACACACTGTCTTTATACACAGGACCAACAAGTATAGAAATTACATCTATATTGTTGCTGCATTGACTGGTAACACTCAAGTGGTCAAATTAAACTTGCTGAAGTAAATAAAGCAGAAGGAAATCTCTGAAGCCTTTGAATGATGACAGTCACGTTGCTAAGTGCTTCTCATACATAATGGACAGAGGTCATCCGCACAGTACTAACTGGCACACAATGTTTGCTGACGCAAACCTGTGGCTTTTCAGTGTTTCTGTTAAGGCAAAAATAAAAGCAGCTTCTTATTTTCCAGGAGTAAAAAGCAAACAGCACTGTCTACATTTAAAATGTGATGAATACACAGGATAAAATGACTGACTTGTTCAGAGTGCTGAACAGCATGAATAGTAGCAGTAATAGTAGTAACAGTGAATCAAATGGTGAGACAATAGGGGCCCTGTATCCAAACACCTGCTATTTGTGTCTGGCGTAAGTCTTGAATCACTGCTCTAATAAGAAATAATAGATAAGCACTCCAGTAAGGGATAGAAGATTCTTGCCCTTAACATCTTTAAGCAAATATAAAAAGGCCTGTGAGAAAGCTGGGTCCCTCTTCCTCATATTACTTTCGTTTGATGGTAAAACATGAAGGGGACATTTTGAGCTCTCGTGCAGCGTGACATGCAGCGCAACTTCCTTTTGATCCATAATATTAGACAGAATCAGACAAAAGGGGGTTGTTGCATTAGTTTCCTTGGCAATGAAAGCTTCCCACTCTCTGTATGCTAAACCCGCATTTAGAGTGGAGTTGTAGCTTTAGTTAGCAATGCCTAATTGCTCCATGTGCTGATGCATGTAATTAAAGCTTCGCTATTTCCTGAATACTTATTTGTGCCGGGTATTTAACACCAGTGCACTATGAAGACTTAGGAGGAGATTGGACAGGCCTTGTGGCCAGCGCCAACAGTGCACCTGGAGGATTAGTCATTATTTGGGGTGAATTATCCGTCACAGTTTCATATAGTCGGCATGGACCTTGAAAAATATAGATGAAAGCTTCTTGTTGAACTAGCACAACACATACCTTTCCTAATATTGGTCCCTTGTGAGCGAATAATTGCCAGTGCTGAGGCTCTTCGTTAAACGTACTGAGGCCGCTTACAAAAAGCCTCAGAACTGGCAATAAAATCTCCATTTAATGAACACAATGCAACAAATTGCTGTGAAAATGTTCTGTCCAATTTTACGATTTCACTTTGTCAGGTAAGTCACATTTAGTCTCTCCCTGTCCACCCATGAGTCATCTGAGAAAAACCATGTTGCATAACGTTACACATTTCGATGTGTAACCTTCACAGCAAGAAGGTTCCAGGTTTGAATCCTTTGGATGGCTGGGGCTATGCAGAGTGTACATCTGTACCACTGTGGGTTCTATCAATGTCCTCCTGCTTCCTCTTGCAGTCCAGAAACATGCATGCTAGCTTAATTGATCATTGTAAACTGGTTATTCTCTGTTAGCCCTGCAATAGATGAGATGAGATAGCGTTTATTTGTCAGTTGCAGTTGCCTTGCCAACCGAACATACAATACACAAACATCACATTGGGGAGACAGGTCAGGCTAGGTAGCAAGGGGAAAAAAAAACATCGAAATGTGTAACACAAAAGCATAATACAGGAATGCACAGATATCAACACAATAAAACACAGACAAGCAACATGGGAGAGTATTCCAGTGTGTACAGCTGATCTGGGACCGCTGCAATCTTCGATTGCGCCTCCAGCTGATCCGGTGTCCACATCCGATGGGAGGTAAGCATGGGAGGAAGCGTTGGATCCGGGGTAGGGAGGGTGATAGTGAGGGCGTGTACGTGCTTCGTGTGTGTGTGTGTGTGTGTGTGTGTGTGTGTGTGTGTGCGTGCGTGTGTGTGTGTGTGTGTGTGTGTGTATCCCATGTTCAGCTGAGAGAAAGTGTTACCACGCCCGGTTAAGCGTCAGTCAACAGTCTCCAGTGGACCCTGGTGGCCTGGAGGAGGTACAAAGAGTTCTGACATCATGTTCTAGTCAGCTTCAACCTTGGCAGGCCTTCAGCTGGCGCCAGGGGGGCCAACTGCATCCAATTTTCCAGTTGGTCTAATGTCCATCACTGGTCACCAGTTCTCTCAATTCCCATTGTTCTTCTCCAAGATGTTATCCATATTACAGAGCCATGAGCTTCTCCAAGATCTTATCCATATTCCATATTGCGTTCAAAATACAGTCTAAGTACTCACAGCCCTGCCAATCATCTATCATGTTTGCCAGCCTTATGGGATTTTGAACAGCTGTAGCCGCTTCTTGTTCTTTGATAAGCTAGGTCCGAACCAGCTCCAATCAGCCCGAACTCTCTTATCATGGTTCCAAATTGATAGATGTCGTTCATTGTCCTCCATCGACAGTGTCGCCAGACACACGACGCAACCGACCATCGAGTATCTGGCAGCAAACGTCTCTGCAGGACAATCTGGCTCTCGCAAGCCTAGGAAGGTGTCAATTTCATTACGGGACCAGTTGATCAAATCCATAATTCTTTAGGATTTAGGGAACAAGACTGAGAAACTCTTTGAGGGTTAGAGTTAGACGAGACTAGACAAACACATAGAAGCAGCAGCAGGGAAGATAAGGGAGGGAGGGGGGGAAAGATGAGTTCGCCTCCCCTGAGAGCCAAAGAGGGAGATTAATGAAGCGTCCAGGTGTACCCCACCTCTGGCTCCATGACTGAAGAAAATGGATGGATGCCTATTTTTTAATGCTTTGATGAAAATCCTTTGCAGTCAATGACTGTATGATGTCTAGGACCAGTGGACTCCAAGGAAGGCTGTATTTCATCCATTGAGAAACCCTCTGCATTTCACGAAGGCATCTCTTAATCTAAAACTTTGATGAGGATATGCCAACGTCCTAGAGAGCATTCTTGACTTGAACAGATGTTTAAGTGGTTTTAATTAACTATGAACATAGTTCTGTCATCATGCACTTTAGTTGTCTTGTGTGGTTTTCCAGTTGCATTGCTGGCCAGTGGATTACTTCTTTTTTTTTTTTACCTGATTGATAATTTGACCACTTCTAAAGTTTTTGCTGTCTTTCCGATTTATTTAGGTTTATTTTATTTTTTATTTTTAGCCTAATGACAGCATCCCTCACTTTACAGTACAGTGAGAAGCTGTAAAATGTAAATATATCCATTTGAATCAACTTCATGTTATTATGTTAGCTTCATTTGTCATGACGTAACAAGGAAACAGACCTCACTTTATCTTCATGATTACAATTCATCCAAAAAAAACAAAACAAAACCAAAATAATACAGCAGCGTTCAGTGCCAACACATGAATAGTTATCAAAACTAATACATTTTCAGATTGTAAGAGAGACAACAAAAGTTTTGTATGGCATATGTCTGACTGTAAAAACAATCTATAATAAAAAAAAAAGCGTATACAGTACAA